TATTATACTTAAAAGCCCTAGGAGATGCCTTCTAGAAGACATCCTTTCTTGAAGTGTTCTTGAGCTCCAAACGTGTTACATTTCAGAGCCTTCCATACTCTTGATTTTTACTTTTTCCATACTTTCCCTGTTATCTGAAAAGTATCTCAAGCAGAAGATAACCTCTGTAGCTAGCCTATGTCTAGGACTGAATTAGCCTGCACTCAATCCTCCCCTTTTTCCTTCCCCTCAGCCTTGCAAGAAACAAAGGAAGTAGTTTTGGTAACTAATCTTCCCTTCTCCCCAAGCTCACCTGGTACTCTCAAGCAAGGATAGAAAATATATCAACATGCCTTCAGCCAGGTTGGAATAAGGATAAGGGTTTATAGCAATCAAACCATAGTATTCTGCTCCTCAAGAGAACTGACCATACTGGTGGGAGTGTGTCTAGTGAGCTGAAATGGGAAAACAGCTGCAAAGCACTGATTAAGACCTCACCAGGGATATAGTAGCTTACAATTCCTTTTCTACATTACCAGTAGCAAGGAGGCACTTGATACACACACTGGTTGAAAGAACAGGTTGATCATTTCTGTAATCCTAGGTACTTGGAAGGGAGAGATTAAGGAGTCAGAGTTCAAAGCCAGCCCAGATATAAAAGATTGTGAGATTTCATCTTAGTCAATGTCTGGGAGTGGTGACACACATTTGTCACTGGGAAGCATGATGACACAATAATGCATCCTAACAACAAGAGGAAAACAAACAAGAACGAAAAAAAAAACCCAGCAAAGGAACATATGAGATGAGCATTTTAACAATGAGCCCCAGGAAAAATAGAAACATAGACATGCAGAAATTGCAGACACAAATGCCCTCCCTAGAAACAGGGGCTGCCATGTCAGAAGTCAGCCCCAAAGTCAGAGGATCTGGAGCAGAGCATCTGCTCCTAGGTATTTATAAATGCTGCCTAGAAAGGAAATGCCAGCTCAAGAGAGGGCACACTGTGCCACCTCACCGAAGGGGATGGATTCGTACCATTCACCAACCCGCACAAATCTGCACAGATGCAAGGCCCCAGCAGCCAGTGGCTCCCACTGAGAAGCAGCACCAGCGTTCTGGCAGATATAATGCTCCATTTTGTAAACAAATATTAAAAGTTCTCTTTTTTTCTACCCTGAATTGAAATCCATAAGTAATATAATTATCTTCATCATTAAAAAAAACATGTATCTTGTATATACATTTTTCTAATTTGGGGAGGGGAAGGAAAATAACAAAATGCTGAAATAAGGAGATAGGTTGAGCCAGTACAACTATGAGAGGTAAAAGACACTATGTTGAAAACGAACTATACAACTTGGCAGGGGAGGTGGGGAGGGAGGGACTTAGGAGGTGGGGAGGGAAGTGATGGTAGAGGAAAAAGGAAGACGTAACAATGCTCCATAGGAAATTGTACTCATTACCTTACTCATGTAACTGTAACCCCTCTGTTCAGTATCTTTACAATAAAAATATACAAAAAAAATAAAATCAACATGATGCTGTAGTCAAACAAATTGAAAGCAAAGCAGTTTATGTGTTTCTACATAAAAATTCAAGAATGATACACTTAAAAACAAATGAAAAGCCGGGTGCCAGTGGCTCATGCCTGTAATCCTAGCTACTCAGGAGACTGAGATCTGAGGATCACTGTTCAAAGGCAGCCTGGGCAGGAAAAGTCTGTAACACTCATCTCCAATAAACCACTAGAAAACTGGATGGAAGTGGCGCTGTGGCTCAAGCAGTGAAGGGTTAAAGTACTTGAGGCAGTGACCATTTGTTGCTTGTTTCAGAGCAGAGCTACACGTGGTGCTAAATCACCTGCTTGTGTGCCTTTATAAGACCTGCAAATCTTTAGCTCAGGGCTCTGCTCCTGGGCTCCTCTGTGTGGGAGTGTAGGACGAGGCCCGAGCTGCAGCCCGTTTAAATATAACAGGTGGTCTTCTTGGTGGGGGTCCTGCAACCTTGGCATAACAAGAGCATTCACCTTGAGCTGAAGAGCGCAGGGACAGTGCCGAAGCCCAGAGTTCAAGCCCCATGATCTACAAAAAAAAAAGCTTCTGCAAGTTTGCCAATGCTTTCCAGGGTTGATGCCTCCCAATTGGCCACCACTGCCCTAATCCATGGTCGGCACAAGCTACTGAGCACCTCAGCCACAGCAAGGTGGCTCCTTCGAGCTCTGCAGCAGAGAGCAGAGCCTGTCACCTCCCAGCCAGGTACCATCTGCCCAGAAATCAGGAAGCAGGAGCTAGTCCAGGCTAGCCTGTTCTTGTTCCACAATCAACTCAAGTCAGAGACAAACACAGAGTTGGATTCACAACATCAAAAGGAAGTCCTCCCAAGATTCCTTAGTTATGTTTAGACTCCCAGCCTACAGCTACTAGGGTTCTTAACAAAGGTGCTGCAGGAGCCCTGAAAAGTGAACAGAGGAAGGAAGGAAGGAAGGTTCTGACAACTGAACTTTACTTCCTCACATACACAGGCCAGTACAGTTTAGTAAGGTCAATTTTCTTTAAAGCTTTCCACTTATAATTGGGGGTGGGGGGTAACTTCTTCTCTTCTCCTTCCTTGCAATGATGTCCAACAATATGGAGGATTATACATGGTACTACCAGCATTGCCCACTGAAGAGAGGCAGCGCTGACAACTCGGTACCCCAGCAAAGGGAAAGGCTAAACAGCCCTGGCTCCAGGTCTCATTTCTGTGATATATATGCTGAATTCTCTATGCTTCCATTTCACCAAGGTAAAATTAAAATGGCGAAGCCTACTTTGCTGGGTTATTCACAGCATGAAGCAGAATCAGTGTAAAACACCCAGTTCTGTGTAGGACACATAGCAGATGCTCTATGATCTCCTCTTAAACATATGGAAGGCAGATCAGGATAGCAAGAAAATCCTGAAGATCCATTTTTTTAAGTCTGATGAAATTCTTACGAATGGTTGTCTGGAAAGACTGGCACGCATGTTCCAGGAAGCTCTGCTCTGGTCAGTCCCATGGCTCCTGCTAACCCTTGTCCAGTGCCATCACAGCTGTCTTTAATTCCCTGGTCTTAAACTAGGAGCATCTTAGGGTCTCTCCGAGGATGCTGGCTCCAAGAAGTCACTGTATGCTTCCTGAGTGTAGAAGACCTGCACTTTTCTTCTGGCAATTGGAGTCATTTCTACTATGGAAATAGTGTAGTCTCAAGAGCAGGAGTTACGACTAGGCATGAGGAAGAACTACTCCAGCAAAGCCATCTTTTTCTTTTTTCTTTTCCTTTTGTGCCAATCCTAGGGCTTGAACTCACGGCCTGAGCTCTAGCTCTAAGCTTCTTTTTGCTCAAGGTTAGCGCTCTGCCACTTGAACCACAGTGACATTTCCAGCCATTTCTGAGTAGTTTATTAAAGATGAGAGTCTCACAGACCTTTCTGCCCAGGCTGGCTTAAAGCCATGATCTTCAGCTTTCAGACTCCTGAAAAGCTAGGATTACACGTATAAGCCACCAGAGCCCAGCTCATCTCTTTTATTTAACCTTAATTCTTTCTGCACATTCTGAATTGCAGACAGTTATACACAAGGCTTTGACTCCCTTGTGTCTGGAAATTGGAAATTGGGTCTGTAGACCTCCTAAGCTCCTGCAGACCTCCTAAGCTCCTGCAGTGCTAGGGACTAGTGAATCCTGGGATGCAAGGTCAGGGATGAGGGATGACAAGGAATGGCCAGAGAGGTTCTACAGAGGCCACCAGTTCCAGAACTGCTCGAAACAGATAAGTGGGAAGTTCGGGAAGCTGAGGCAGGTAATGGTGTGGAGATTGCCATAGCACAACAGCTGACTGCAGAAGAGGGTCTGATGGAAGCCGCAGTGGAATAGGCTTCCCATGGTACTGTAGCACAGGTCCAGTTCCTGGGTGACCCTCTAGCCAGATGGAAAAATTGACGTCCTGGCCCACCCCTACCTGCCCTGCCGGAGGCACTGAGCACCTATCCTGTGGGTGAGCGCCCCCTGCGGGTACAGACCCTGCTCTGCCCTCATTTGCTCCCTCGAGGATTGAGGCCTGTGCTTAACAGCAAGGGAGAAGCTCCATGGTCTTAAACTCCCTAGCTGCACGTTCATTCTTACACATTTCAACAGATCCCACTCCAGGCTTTTGTCACAACAAGCTGCCCGGCTCTAGAAAGTTAACCACCCGGGACTAAACCCACAGCTGAATGTACCGTCTGACACCCCAAAAGAAGACCCACACATTGAGCCCCATAGCTCCTGTCTTGGCAAACACCCACCTCACCTCCAGGCTTTGCTTTTAGAGCATAGAGAATTAACGTCCCATCATTGAGTGATCAAAAGCAGAAGTTTCCCTCTCTTTGAGCCTTAGCTTACTTATCTGAAAAATAAGCATGACAGTTTTCATCCAGCCCACCTTACAAGGCTGTTCTACAACTTATAAAAAGCTCTACAAGCCCCAGCCGGGCCTACGATTGACAAGTAATCTGACTCCCTGTGACTTGGCCGGCCTGTGGGAATCTTTGAGCTTCTGTGGTGGCTAGTCAGTAAAGCCAAAGGAGAATGTTTTCCTTTCCCTTTTTTCTCAGGACCTTTCCCTTTTTTCCCTGCTCACTGGCCCTTCACATTTTCTCAGGCCCTTTCTCAGGTGGACCCCAGTCATCAATCAAAGCTAGGTAGTTGACTACATGAAGGCCTAACCCAGCAGGCAGGTGTTCTCAGAAGAGTTTGTTAATGATGAGGCTTGAGAGACTAAAAGGAGACAAACCCCATTTAAAAAAAAAATTAAGCTCAACCAGCCTTCTTCAAGAGAACACTACTGTCATTTGCAGTATCAGACAGCAGAGGGAGCTAGATGACAAAGCCAGGTGACACTTGGGCAAGGTTAGGGAGATTCAGCTAACTGAGCATCTGGGATTGAAGACAATTCCAGATTGTCCAGACGGGCCACAAGGAGGCACAACCCCACTCCTCCCCTACTGGGCATGTCCTCTCCTCACTGCACAGTTTTTACCTGAATCTCCTTATTGGTGGAGCTGATGACCTATGACCAGCAAGTGCTCCCATCTATGTGCCTAGTTCTTAGTGATCACATGACCAAGGAGAGGAAAGGAATATGACCTCTTTAGGCCCTGTAGGGGGTGGAGTAAACATCCACTCAAGGGTATTCAGTAGGGTGCTGGGCTGGATTCATGCACATTGGCTCCATGCCCATTGGGCTAGAAGGAAATACCTAAAAGTCGTGGAATATGAGTACTTCCAAGGGGGTCAGCAGGGTCCCAAAGTCAAGTTTACTAGGGAAGCTCAATCTGAAACACAGTATTTTGATTTGAAGATGACTTTAGCCTAAACCTGCCAGGAAAAACTTGCTTACAGTCCAAAGTTGCTAGGCTTGAACTTGACCACCTCCTCCCCCCCCCCATCCTTCTCCTCTCAACCACCCACAAAGATCAGGGCTCTTACTGATACAGATATGCCAGGTGTGTGTCCAGCCTCTTCAGATGCACTGAGTGCATTGAAAGGTGGACAGAGTACCAGCTTGTGTCACCCATTGGAACTGCCTATTTTTGTCTTCCAGGCCAAAAACCAGGGGTTTCGGCTTCCCCATCTGTAAAATCCTTGATCCCTTCAGTCAGGGGAGACACCACCCACAGCACAGTAAGAACATCAAAGGCCCTATGAGGTGATTGGCATTCAGGGAGTCAGGTGACCTTCCCAAAGTCAAAGAGCAATAACTCAAAGCCAACAGCTCTCAGAACAAACTCCAAATAGTTTGGACTAACCCAAAGATGGCTTTACTACTTTCTGGGTGGAAAAGTGCATCCTTCCATACACTGAAGCCCTTGGGGCAGGTTGGGAAAGAGAATAATAAGTAGGAGATTTTGAGCCCCAGTTTGACCTCTATTGCCTGTATGACTTTGGGCACTCTGTTTCCTTGTGCATAAAATAGATCTTCCTTTTTATACACCACACAGTGGTGATTATTAACCAGCCACAGAACTAAGGGGAAGATAGTAAGAGGATAGGCCAGGGCCTGAATGGCCAGTGTTCCCTGCCCAGGTCTTGACTTTCCAAACTCACCCTTCTCTCAGACCCAGGTGCTCAGCTCTCAGGACAGATCAGGAACCACCAAGTAGGTCCTCCAACCTTGCTGTTTCTTGGACTTGACAATGTCCTCCAAGATGTGATCTCCCATTGGAGATGTCCTTGCCCCTCACCCCAAGCAGCTTGCACACCATGTCTGATGAGCCTGCCCCACCCAGGGAAGACAGACTCTTTCACCTGTCTTCCCCGGTAGGCAGGTTAGGGAGCTACAGGACAAGGTAGAGCTGGTACCCCCAAAGTAGATAGCACAGAGCCCCATGTAGGTGCCCACATGGTGCTTCCCTGAGTCCTGGAGGGATAGAGGGTAACCCAAAGACAGGGCTGACAGACATTGTCCCTGGTCAGGGATGGCTAGGGGATTGGAGTAGCTATGGTAGCCACAGAAACAAGGGAGGAGGGATGCCACTTACCCCTCTAATAGTTCATTAGCTCTCTGTCTCCAGAAACAGACACCAGCAGCAGCCACAAGCAGGTCAAGTCTAAGGGCAGTAAGTCTCCCTTCCACTAACTCTGAGTCAAGAACAGGCTTCACCATGCACCATTGCCATGTTGCCTTATCTCAGGACCTGACCCGTTGGCAAAGAAGCAGGGCTTCTCTGTATCCACCACAATCTGGTCGAAGTAGGACCTCTGGGCCTGACTGAGGCCTCGGGCTCCGGATTGGGGTAGAGAAGGAAAAGGGACAGTTATACACACACACACACACACACACACACAGATTGAGAAATCTGACCCTGCACATCACAGTCAAATGAGACATCCTTGGACCTGGGAACTAGGAGGTTTAGCTCTGCTCCTCAGCATTATCAGCCATGCTGAGCACTAAGTACTCAGGTGATTGTAAAGATGAGTGTTGATGTTGTACTGCACATAGTACAGACTCAGGAACATATGACACCAGTATAGTCACCAACATATGGCCACACCCATTTCACAGCCAGCAACTTATTTATGTCCAAGGCACAGGATTTGTCATAGGCTTTCCTTGCTGGGCTTGCCATGTTCCATCTCGCCATCCCTTCCTCACTCTATCCCGTCCCTCTCTAAACGTACAACTCCCTCTTTAAGGCTTTCTAAGGGATTCCTGCCCTACCCCTTGCAGAGCCCCAGTGAGGGCCACCTGTGTGCAATGATGACTCACATGCTGGGTTCTTCCTCAGGAAAGGGCTGGACATAGGAGAGGCTGCCCCCGATCCTGTCCTTTGCACAGCTCCCCCCGCAACCACCCCAACCCTAGGTACTTGCAAACAGGTAAGTCACGATGGCCTGGAAGGGACAGTGTGGGAGTCCAAGCACTGCTCTTTGAACACTTACATCCTTCTCCACATACTTCTCCAAGTTTTCCAGGGTTTCTTCTTGAGATAGCCATAAGGAGAGAGCACAGCTATGCATGCAGAGGTGTTCGTGTGCCCGTGTGCCCTCTCCAAGGTGGTGTGTTTGACAAGAGGATCCCAGCAGGAATCAGCAGGAAGACAGCTGGAAGCTTTATGGAAATTGAAGACATGAAGGTTGTCCAGAAGAACCAAGGACAGATGGGCCCCAGGTCTTACCTAATACCAAACCACTCACTGACTGGCAAATTTTATTCATGGCCTCAGTCACATCCTGGAAGAGGCCTCAGAAGGACATGAAGAGGGTTCCATGCTGATAACCAGTGTCACAGCTGGGACAAGCCAAGAGGGACAAAGAGGTTGGTAAGAGGGGTTGAGATGACCCACTCTGGAGCCTACACCAGAGTGTAGCCTCCACCACACTAAGGCCACACTGGGCTTCTGTCATTCTGAAAGGAGAGTCATCCTGCCTTGAACACAAGTCACAGGAGCGGATGCCACTTTACAGTAGAGGTCCCTTCTGAAGCCTTTCAGAAGATGCCTCTGCCCCTCAACAGGGAGCCCCTCTTTTGTGGTACAGCAGCAGACTCCTACTAGTCATGCCAGAATTGGGCAGGGCACTGGACACACGGTGTATCAGAGCCATTGGAGAAGTCCACTAGGCAGGCTTGAGGTAGATTTCTGGGGCAGATAAATCAATTTGTTGCTGGCCCAGGAAGCCAGGCTGATCCCCCTCGGGATAGAGCTGAGGACATCTCAGTACCCTCTGTCAAGCTCTCACCAGGAAGGTTGAAGAGCATGTTGAGGATGTGGAACACTGTACATCATCCCTCTGAATGAACTTGCTGTGGTAGAAGCTCCAGTCTCTTCCCTGAGAAGGATGGGTTGGGTACAGCCAGTATCCTCTACCCTACATCTCCCAGAGGCTTGTTCAGGCCAAGCCATTCCTTCTGTCTTCCCCCACCCGCTCTGTCCGGGCTGGCATTTGTGGATCTTTTACAATGTGTCTGAGTCACTCCTTCTCCTGGTCCCCCTATAGCTTTTCCAGTATGCAGAGCTGTGTTTCCCTCCCTCTCCCCCTTCCTCTCTGAGAGGATGCCCAACAGCACATTCTCATGGTCATCTACTTTCAGCAGCTTCCCACAGAGCACATCAAACAGCAATCCCCTAGGGATAGAGTAGGGGGCTGTGAGTGGGATGCTAAGTGGCTACAGCCTCCTGCTTAGCCCAGCAACTGCACCTGGTAGGAAAGGTGGCATCATAGGTATAGTGCAGGACCTCATGTGGGCCCAATGCACACCAGGTGTTCCAGCAACAACTTGAAGGCCAGAGCCTCATAGGATGGGGATTTGTAGGCTGTAAGAGGCCCAGGGAGACCCAGGTTGGTGCCTAGCTGCCCAGTCCCTGCTCCCTGCACTCCAAACACCCTGTATTCCATCCCCCACCAGCCAGAAAGTAGTCCATGTCGAAGCCCAAACAACCAATCTTTCCCACTGCCTGGATGCAGTTGGCAAAAACTCTAGTGAAAGAGGAAGAAATCAGGATCAGCCTTCCAAAGGCCAGATCCTAACGATGAGAACCCAGCAGAGGGGCAGCATACCCCAGCAGCTGCATAAATGAGGTTTGGGAGAAGGTAGAACTGAAGTGAGGAGCCTAAGGAACTTCTTACAGACATCCTATTGCCTTGTTGGGTGGAGGGTGCTTTCTACCCAGTGCTAAAATCCTAGAGGTGAGAGAGGCCATTCATTGAATTGCAGATGTCAAGCTGTTTAGCCAGAGGAGAGCTTTGCATAGTGGATGCTCTGATTCTGCCTTGATTACCTCCCTAAATAGCTTGATTCACTTGTCTCTGAATAGCCTCTAAGTTTACCCCTATATGGAAAGGTTGAGGTGTATCCCCCCCCACCATATAGAAAGTCTAAGCTGACACCTATCCCCCACCCCCCCCACCCCCAGCTACTTCCATAGATGGACAGTTCCCCTGGTACCTGAGCTCCTTCCAAGTAAGGACTGCTTTTCTTAAGGTTTGGTCTCCACCCCAAGAATATGGTTTTTGTCTTTAAAAGCTTTGTGCTAGGGTCTAGGAAGGTGTCTCAGAGGTAGAGTACTTGCCTTGCATGCATGAGGCCCTGGGTTCGATTCCTCAGCACCACATAAGCAAAAAGAAAAAAAACGGAAGTGGCGCTGTGGCTCAAGTGGTAGAGCGCTAGCCTTGAGCTGAAGAGCTGAGGGACAGCGCCCAGGCCCAGAGTTCAGGCCCCACGACCAGACCCCCCCCCCTCAAAAAAAAGCTTTGTGCTAGCTTTGTTTGGGGCTACTGGTCTTTGAGATAGGAGTCTTCCTGCAGCTACTGGCTCTCCAATAAAGACTCTCACTTTGACCTCTCAAAATGTGGTTTCTCTGTTTCTCACCAACAGAATTACCTTACAACAGAACCAAACTAGGGTCCCTGCAGGAACCCATGGTGTCTCCACATGCATTCCAGTGTGTGATAGCATGTGCCTGAGCACCTGTGTGACTATGCATGAGTATGTGTGAGCATGTGTGCACAAACAGTAGCCCACTTTCTCACCATGGGAGAATGTATTAAGAGCATTCATCTCTAGAAATGAGGGTATACAACCATCAGTGTGGAGTGTTGCCCTTTCTGAAGTGGGGCCACTAATGTCCATGTTCAGAAATGTATTTGTCACGTGGTATCAGGCAGTAAAATGAAGAGATCTTTGTGAGACAGAAGGAAGTAGAAAGTTCTGACTACTAGAGTGTCTTGTCAGTGTTTTCACCCTATGGACAGGTCACTAGCTCCTATATAAAAAAAAAAAAGTCCCTTGTGGGGCTGGGAAGATGGCTCAGTGATAGAGTGCTTGCCTTGCATGCATGAGGCCCTGGGTTCGATTCCTCAGCACCACATAAGCAGAAAAAGCCAGAAGTGGCACTGTGGCTCAAGTGGTAGAGTGCCAGCCTTGAGCTGAAGAGCTGAGGGACAGTGTCCAGGCCCGGAGTTCAAGCCCCATGACCAATAACATCAAGAAAAAGTCTCTTGTGATTGCAAGTATCTGAATACAGAAAGAAGTTGTCATATGTTGCTATGTCATATGGGGTGTTAACAAGCTAAGCCCTATCCTTCACCTCACACCAATGCCCCTCTCATCTCCTAAGCCAGTTGTGAATCAGACCTTGAAAGGAGACCAGGCAATCAGTTTCCTGGCCAGTCTCCTTACAGGACTGTTGTGGCTCATCCACACTAGCCATTCCCATGCCAGTCAGAGTGAGGAGGCAGCTGTCCTCTCCCCAGCCACCTACATACTATCAGCGCAGCCCAGAAGTTCCCTTCTCCTTCTAAAACATGGGACCTCACTGACCCAGCTGACCCCACCCAGTGCTCCCATCTCTCCCTACCCTCCGCTGAAGGAGGAAGTAGCTAGGACAGTCTCTAATATCTCCTTACTTATTCTGGAGGGAAAGAAGTAATTCTATCCTTTGCCACCTTCAGGTCTAAGACCTCTGCATCCAGCGACTACAACTGTTTGGAGAACTGAAGCATATTATATATATATATATATATATATATATATATATAATATGCTATAATATATATATAATATATTATACTATATAATATATATATATATAAGCAAAAATGGAAGCTCCAACAGGATGCTTTAACAATAAAATTATCAGGTAAATATCGAAAGAACACATGACTATTGCTTTGCACAAAATTCTAATATATTTTGATAATATATTTCCCAGCTCAAGCACATTTAAAAAGAAATGAGAAGCATGCCAAGAGTTGTAGGAAGAAGCAAATGAGTGGTATCACAGAATCAGAAAAAGTAGGGTACAAAAGAAGAGATCACAAACCAGAACTATTGGAGCCATAGTAGTGTAAAGTAGTATAAAGGTGTCAACTGAAATAAAGAGGCTGAGTCTAAGTAACTTCTCACAGTCATCCTGGTGTCTTACTGGGTAGAAGGGGCTTTCCACCTCAGCTCCGAAAAGCCTAGAGGTAAGAGAGGCCATTCATTGAACTACCGATGTCATGCTACTTAACCTTAGGAAAGCTTTGCACAGAGAATGCTCTGATTCTGCCTTGGTTACCTCCCTAAATGTTTGATTCATGTGCCTCTGAGTATACCCCTATATAGAAAGGTTGAGGCATATCCCGCCCCCATGGAAAGTTTTAGCTGACCCCTGAGCTATTTTCCTAGATGGAAAAGGTCTGCTGGTACCTGATCTACTTCCAGATAAGGTCTGCTTTTGTTGGGCTTGGGTGCTCCACCCAAATATGTGGGTTTTTTTGTCTTAAAAGCCTTGTGCTAGCTCTGTTCTGGGCTATGGGTCTTTGAGACAAGAGTCCCCCTACACACACCAGCTCTCCAATAAATATTCCCAAGTTGACATCTCAAACTGTGGCTTTTCTAGCTGTGCGCTGGTGGCTCACACCTGTAATACTAGCTTCTCAAGAGACTGAGATCTGAGGATCACGGTTCAAAACCAGCCCAGAAAATCTTTTTTAAAAATATTATACATATATTTATATGTTTTTATTGTAAAAATACTGTACAGAGGGATTACAGTTACATGAGTAAGATAATGAGCCCCACTCCCGAAGTTGTAAAGTTCATTTTCAACACAGTATCTTGTACATCTCATTGTTATAATGGGTCAACCTGTATCCTTAATTCCCATTTTGTTGTTTCCTTTCCCCTCCTCAAATTAGAAAAATGTATATACAAGATGCAGGGCACTTGAATCAAATACAGTGAAAACATGGCTTATATGGTGGGGGAAGAACATACAAAAGAAACAAAAAAATCACATAGTACATTATAAATACATTAAAAGTAACAGCGAGAAAGAAAAAAAACACTTGTGTCCCTATCTTGGGGTTCATTTTGCTTAACATCATCTTAAAACTTTTTTGGGGAGGGTCCGGTTGTGGGGCTTGAACTCTGGGCCTGGGCACTATCCCTCAGTTCTTCAGCTCAAGGCTAGCGCTCTACCACTTGAGCCACAGCACCACTTCCAGCTTTTTTCTTTTTGCTTACGTGGTGCTGAGGAATTGAACCCAGGGCTTCATGCATGCAAGGCAAGCGCTCTACCACTGAGCCACCTTCCCAGCCCCATCTTAAAACTCTTATCTCCCATAAACCACCAGAAAACCAGAAATGGAGTTGTGGCTCAAGTGGTAGAGCACTAGCCTTGAGCTGAAGAGCTCAGGGATAGTGCTCAGGCCCAGAGTTCAAGTCCGATGACTGACAAAAAAAGTGGCTTTTCTGTTTCTAACCACCTGAGGTACCTTACAACAGACAACCCCCAAAGCCTGAATCATCATTTTTACAGCAAAGTCATGACTTCCATTTCATACTCCTGCATCATCCAGCTCCACCTCCATCTTCTAAAAAAAAAGGAAGGCAGGTGCTCTGTTTTGTTTTAGAATAGTTTCTTTTAAAAATGGCTAAGTTAAATGAAGTTATATACTTCAAATAGTCTTTATGTTATTGTACAAAGGAGTTGCCATTTAATTGATTTGTGAATACAATGACTCTTGATCAATATCACTCCTTTCAATATTTTCACCCATCCCTCCCAACCCACACTCACTCATTGGTCTCAATTTTATAGGATATACATTGAACTCTTGAAATATCTGGGGGTGGAGAGCACATTCCATAGTTTCAGAACAACTTCTTCCTTGATAATGCCAAAAGCAAGGATTGGGTATACATGAAGGGATGAATGGATAGATTCATGGATGCGTGGAAGGATGGATTTGTGACTACATTGAGAGATGGATAGATGGATGCACGAATGCTTAGATGGATTCATGGATTCATGGATGAATAGAGGAAGGGAAGGATTTATGACTGTGGAAAGATGGATGGATGGGTGAATAGATCCATGGAGGGAAGGAAGGGTTCATATATATATGCATGCATGCATGGAGGGATAAATGGCAATTTTATATAAAACAACCTTAACTGAGGAAGTTAGAAAAGAATGAAGCTTCAGAATCAGGAGTCTTTCTGGAGTTCTTTCTAGTCATGATTCTTGTTACCTATCCCCTCATGCTTCCCTTTTCAGCACCCTTGTTCAGAACACACAATTCTCCTTAAGACCAAAAAAAGAAAGCACAAAAAGGAGGATGATCTGGTGACAAGAAGCCACAGAGAAGGCCTCAGCTGGACCTCCCACTGAAGCAGCACAAGTATACAAGAGTGCAAAGTGTTTTCCCTATAGCTATCTTGAGATCTATCTTGGTGTTTCAGTGTCTCTCAATGGCACACCCCATCCATCTCCTAGGGTTGACTGAACAATGTGTCAATGCCGATAGTGGGTAGGGCCTACCCTGATTGGTCCTAGCGTGACCTACACTAGCACAGAGGAGGCCACTGGCATCTCCCCATGTTGTGGTGGCCATTTCCACTAGATCTTCAGCTGACTTGGTTTCTGTTGTCATTCCAGAACACAGCTGCTTTTCTAGACCCTACAACCCCTTGACTTACTGAAGGGCAA